CAAATAACCCATTCTATGAATGGTAATTGTTTTGAAAAAATATAAAACAGTGGTTTCTCGTTGCCTCTTTTGTATTCATTTTGTTTTCTCATTCTAGTCCTGCTTGTATCTGGTTAGTGAGCCTACTCTAAATTGGTACTGAAACGGATTCCTCTTATTCTCTTGAGCAATAAAGAAGTAAGACATGTAGCAACATCAGCACCTTTTGAAAAGGGCAATCCTTTAAAGGCAAGGAAGGACAAAAATATTTTAAGTCAATTGAAATCACCGTGCTGTATGAGTCGTACGATTTTGAATCAAGCACTGGCAATCAGTAGGCCATGCTGCTAGTAATATATATATATATATATATATATATATATATATATATATATATATATATTAGATAAAAAGCCTAATTTGGCATACAAACATTGTTAAATTATGCAAAGTAACAGAAAATGCCAACCAAAATCTAACAACTGTTTTAATAAAATCAGAGAAAAGATTACTGAATAGTTAATATTTGTTTTCGTATATGGTAGTGAACGGTGGCCATTTTCCTCAAAAATAAAGAAGAAACTTGAGGCGGTAGAAATGCGTGTCTAACAGATGGTTAATATAAGAGTTGGGAAATTCAACGTTAATTCAAAGACTCATATTTCCCTTCGGTGTTTCGTTAACATTTGCTTTATCATCTAAATTGTGGCACTCACACCCTGCCTTCAATGTTTGCTGAAAATACCACAGAACGATCATGTGAACAAAAGTTTTAGAAATATTAGAAACAAAAATGACAGTCAGAAATTAACATCAGAAAAAAGACAGAATGATATTTCTCATCCACATAATGAAAAGAGGGCTTGGAAAAAAATAATGGGACAGGTTGAAAAAAAAAGGAACATTCAAAGGACGCATAAAAAGAACCTAACGAGCTCCAACGTTTGGTTGCCAATAAAATTTAGGAGAGATAACAAAAAGGGAAGCCCAGTTGAGTAATGGAAATCGGCTCGGATTGGAGAATCGGAGAGCCAACTTTGAATTACAGTCAGATCCATTATATTCCCTTAAGTGATAAGATTCTTATAAAGGCGTGGATCCTCTTCTTCTCTCCCAGCTTGGATAGACCGGGTTCTACAGCCTTGGTTGGCAACCGGTCTAGGAGAAGAAAAACTCTGAATTCAAAACTGGTCTAAAGAGAGTTGGGCTCCGTCAGGCTATCATTCCCAAGAGACATCACTTTTACTGCGTCCGCATTACAATCGGTGTCCCTACAATCTTACGAGTCAATAAAAAAACAACAAAAAAAAGGTAAACATTATTAAGAGCTACAAAGGACAGGAAATTGTTGAGAGCCATGGTCACCAACGTTCTGATGGAACACAGCACTTAGGAGAAGAAGAAGAAGAAAATAGTCACAATTTTCCACTAAATGATAGTCTCCTATTAATCTCTGATCTATTTTTATCGATATCTCTGCAGTGTAATTAGATTTTTAAACAATCCCCATCTTGAATAAATCGTTTATTGAACGAATTTTTTCGAGAAAAAAATACGCCCTAGTTATTAAAGAGAAATTCATTTCTCGTTCGAAAAATGACGACAGCCGAATGAACACGATTAAAACCGAGAAAGTCCGGAACAAGCGGATGCGTCAGTTACTCGTTTGCTTCCATTAATTCTGTGAACGTCCAGTTCATCTGTGTGCGTTTTGTCGTATTTTTATATCATTTCATTATTATATATACACAAATGACAGAAAAAAAATCTACTATCTATATTTCTCATGTTGTCTATCTGTGTGTCTGTCGTGGGCGTTGTTACCTCGCCCAGGCCGCATTTCTCACCCGATTTCGATGCGGTTTTAAACACAAGTTTGCAAACGGCTGCCGTAAGGACATGACGGAGCCCGATTTTTGAATTCGCAATCAGGTTCCGAAAAAATCGATAATCGAAAAAATCGATAATCGAAAAAATTCTGCTTACAGAAGGAATGATCGCATTTCAACCAAATTTGGCACCCCCTTAGAGTCTACCATTAGAAGTGTTGTCCAGAAGTTTCATGACCACGGACCCCTAAACAGCGCGAAAAATCGATAAAACCCAAAAACCGATACGCCCAGATTGTGTCTGAACCGCATGTCGGTTTTAGCGAAAACCGAGCGGATTTATGAAGAGGCCATTGGGAGTCACCATGTGAAGTTTCAACTCTGATCACCCCCCCCCAAACAGAGTGCAAATCGACAATCGGTCAACCCTTAAAAATGTTTTTTTCTGTTTTTTTAAAGCTGATCGTATTGTGTTTATTTTGTTTAGTTCTTTTTTCGTAGCAGATTTAATGTTTACTATAGAGCTTAGAAAAAGTTGGCAGTGTGATATAGGCAAGGAGTAAGGCATGTAACAACGTCAGCACAGCGATCCTCTGAAGGCAAGGAAGGGCAAAAATATTTTATGACAAGTGATAGCGATTGCTATATTAGTCGTACTATTTTTGAATCAAGCACGGGCAACGCCGGGCCATGCTGCTAGTTATTGATAGAAGCAATTTTCAGAGGAAAGCTCTGAGAGCTATAATTGAAATGATAAAGAAAATAATAATGAAACTTGGTATAGGAATACCAGTTTTTGATCTAGTGTTGAATTTTTCAATGCCGAAATAAAACCATATGCACGATATTGAAGAAAAACAAAACAAAAAATGTGATCAAAACAGAAGATTAATTCTTATAGGAAAAATGTTTCAGATTTCCAACAAATCAGTTTTCGAACGTCTTGGATCGCAGTATTTCATAATTTTTAGAGTTTTAAGCTTAAGGAGTTTTCTATTTTTATCTTCTTGATTTATACGAGAAATACGACAAAAATTTCACTATTCACCTATTTTAATATTATGCTGAATCTCAACTCTTAAATGAATCAATTTATAAGCTCCTGCCGACAGTAAAATATCCGTAGAAATTCCCCTAACGCATCGTTAAATATTTGAGCGTAACAACTTAAAAAACTATTGCAATAACAATGATAAATATAAATGCTTGTTGTTTGGTTGATATTTTAATTTAGTGATTACAGATGAAAGATTTGAATTTGATAATATTTTTTCCATTTCACTGAAACAGACATTAAACATTGCTAAGTTTCTTTCTTTTTCTCACTGAAACCAAATAACATTTCTCATATATTCTCCATCTGTTCACGCGACCAAAATGGAATAGTCCATTATTTAGGACGTATTAAACGCTTCTATTGTCCCTTATTTCTGTCTTTCTTTTTCTCGAGGAAACCAAGTATCGTTTCTCATATATTCGAAATCATTCCACCCGATCAAAAATCATCGATGATGTATTGACAGGTGATTACTTACATTACTCGCTCAGTTATCGTCATTGCATATTCAAAACTTTTCGTCCTTTGTACGTGATTAGAATTTGGAATCGAACCCTTTTTGAAATTGTTCTACTTCTACGTGCCATGGCTCTTTCAGATGTCTCAGTTATTTCCGTTTAACTCAAATCTCCAAGTGTTTGTTCACCTCTAGCCTGGTATTGAATTCACAAGTTTTGGGTTTAGTCATTGGTTCTATCCAACGCCTTTATCCACTAGGACATGTGTCCTTGTGGCCATTTGTGTCTGAATTTCTATCACTTATATCTCACAGCATATTTAGCAGCGCTCATATTACATTTTTTTCTGTTATTATTATTGCATATTTTACCAGAGTTTTGTTTTTTTTTTTTTTTTTTTTGTTATTCGCTACTTTTCTCTAGCACTCCTTATTACTGGTTCTCATAGTGTATAATTTATTATATATTAGCAGGTGACATTAAAAAAAACCCTTTAATTTTCACTTCTTTATTTCTTTTTTCTTTCTCTCTTTTTCACTTTGAAACCAAGAAGTTATTCTTATATGCCTTTTCTGTCTGCTCACGCGTTTAAAACAGAATAGCTTATTAGTTATGAGATATTGTCAAGAGACTTTAAACACGTCTATCTTCATTTTCTTTCTTTCTTTCTTTCTTTCTTTCTTTCTTTCTTTCTCCAAAACCAAGAATCCTCTCTTATCTCGTTTCAATCTATGAACGCGAACAAAACGGAATATTTTATTATTAATATGATATTGGCAGGAGACGTTAAACACTTTTTCTTTCTTTCTTTATTTCTTTCTTTCTTTCTTTCTTTCTTTCTTTCTTTCTTTCTTTCACTGAAACCAAGCAGCGTTTCTGATATGTCTTCTCTGTCTTTCCACGTGATCAAGACGGAATACTCCAATATTTATTACGTTACTGGCATATTGTATTCATGCTAATTAAGATAAGGACAAGCAGCACTTTTTTTTTTTTTCTTTCTTTCTTTCTTTCTCCAAAACCAAAGAATCCTCTCTTATCTCGTTTCATTCTATGAACGCGATCAAAACGGAATATTTTATTATTAATATGATATTGGCTGGAGACGTTAAACACTTTTTCTTTCTTTCTTTCTTTCTTTCTTTCTTTCTTTCTTTCTCCAAAACCAAGAATCCTCTCTTATCTCGTTTCATTCTATGAACGCGATCAAAACGGAATATTTTATTATTAATATGATATTGGCTGGAGACGTTAAACACTTTTTCTTTCTTTCTTTCTTTCTTTCTTTCTTTCTTTCTTTCTTTCTTTCTCCAAAACCAAGAATCCTCTCTTATCTCGTTTCATTCTATGAACGCGATCAAAACGGAATATTTTATTATTAATATGATATTGGCTGGAGACGTTAAACACTTTTCTTTCTTTCTTTCTTTTTTTTCTTTCTTTCTTTCTTTCTTTCTCCAAAACCAAGAATCCTCTCTTATCTCGTTTCATTCTATGAACGCGATCAAAACGGAATATTTTATTATTAATATGATATTGGCTGGAGACGTTAAACACTTTTTCTTTCTTTCTTTCTTTCTTTCTTTCTTTCTTTCTTTCTTTCTCCAAAACCAAGAATCCTCTCTTATCTCGTTTCATTCTATGAACGCGATCAAAACGGAATATTTTATTATTAATATGATATTGGCTGGAGACGTTAAACACTTTCTTTCTTTCTTTCTTTCTTTCTTTCATTCTTTCTTTCTTTCTTTCTTTCTTTCTTTCTCCAAAACCAAGAATCCTCTCTTATCTCGTTTCAATCTATGAACGCGAACAAAACGGAATATTTTATTATTAATATGATATTGGCTGGAGACGTTAAACACTTTTTTTCTTTCTTTCTTTCTTTCTTTTTCTTTCTTTCTTTCTTTTCTTTGAAACCAAGCAGCGTTTCTTATGTTTCTGTCTTTCCACGTGATCAAGACGGAATACCGTTAAACCAAATTAAGATAAGGAAAGCAGCACTTTTTTTTCCTTCTTTTTTCTTTTCAAAACCAAGAATCCTTCTTATCTCGTTTCATTCTATGAACGCGATCAAAACGGAATATTTTATTATTAATATGATATTGGCTGGAGACGTTAAACACTTTCTTTTTTCTTTTTCTTTCTTTCTTTCTTTTTCTTTCTTTCTTTCACTTTTCTGATATGTCTTTCTTTCTCCAAAACCAAGAATTCATGCTAATTAAGATAAGGACAAGCAGCACTCTCGTTTCATATCTCTATGAACGCGATCAAAACGGAATATTTTATTATTAATATGATATTGGCTGAGACGTTAAACACTTTTTCTTTCTTTTTATTTCTTTCTTTCTTTTTTTCTTTCTTTCTTTCTTTCTCCAAAACCAAGAATCCTCTCTTATCTCGTTTCATTCTATGAACGCGATCAAAACGAATATTTTATTATTAATATGATATTGGCCACTTTTTTTCTTTTCTTTCTTTCTTTCTTTCTTTCTTTCTTTCTTTCTTTCTCCTCCAAAACCAAGAATCCTCTTATCTCGTTTCAATCTATGAACGCGATCAAAACGGAATATTTTATTATTAATATGATATTGGCTGGAGACGTTAAACACTTTTTCTTATTTCTTTCTTTTCTTTCTTTCTTTCTTTCTTTTTTCTTTCTTTCTTTCACTGAAACCAAGCAGCGTTTTGATATGTCTTCTCTGTCTTTCCACGTCTTAATATTTATTACTTACTGGCATATTGTATTCATGCTAATTAAGATACAAGCAGCACTTTTTCTTTTTTCTTTCTTTCTTTCTTTCTCCAAAACCAAGAATCCTCTCTTATCTCGTTTCATTCTATGAACGCGATCAAAACGGAATATTTTATTATTAATATGATATTGGCTGGAGACGTTAAACACTTTTTCTTTCTTTCTTTCTTTCTTTCTTTCTTTCTTTCTTTCTTTCTTTCTCCAAAACCAAGAATCCTCTCTTATCTCGTTTCAATCTATGAACGCGATCAAAACGGAATATTTTATTATTAATATGATATTGGCTGGAGACGTTAAACACTTTTCTTTCTTTCTTTCTTTCTTTCTTTCTTTCTTTCTTTCTTTCTTTTCTTTCTTTCTTTCTTTCACTGAAACTAAGCTTTTCTGATATGTCTTTGTTTTCCACGTCAAGACAAAATTACCATATTGTATTCATGCTAATCAAGCAGCTTTTTCTTTCTTTCTTTCTTTCTTTTCTCCATCTCGTTTCATTCTATGAACGCGATCAAAACAGAATATTTTATTATTAATATGATATTGGCTGGAGACGTTAAACACTTTTCTTTCTTTCTTTCTTTCTTTCTTTCTTTCTTTCTCCAAAACCAAGAATCCTTCTTATTTTTCAATTATGAACGCGATCAAAACGGAATATTTTTATTAATATGATATTGGCTGGAGACGTTAAACACTTTTTTTTTCTTTCTTTATTTCTTTCTTTCTTTCTTTCTTTCTTTTTCTTTCTTTCTTTCTTTCACTGAAACCAAGATATGTCTTCTCTGTCTTTCCACGTTCAAGACGGAATACTCCAATATTTATTACGTTTCATATTGTATTCATGCTAATTAAGATATGACAAGCAGCACTTTTTCTTTCTTTCTTTCTTTCTTTCTTTCTCCAAAACCAAGAATCCTCTCTTATCTCGTTTCATTCTATGAACGGATCAAAACGGAATTTTTATTATTAATATGATATTGGCTGGAGACGTTAAACACTTTTTCTTTCTTTCTTTCTTTCTTTCTTTCTTTCTCTCAAAACCAAGAATCCTCTCTTATCTCGTTTCAATCTATGAACGCGATTATTTTATTATTAATATGATATTGGCTTAAACACTTTTTTTCTTTCTTTCTTTTTCTTTCTTTCTTTCTTTCTTTCTTTCTTTCTTTCTTTCTTTCTTTCACTGAAACTAAGCAGCGTTTCTGATATGTCTTCTCTGTCTTTCCACGTGATCAAGACGGAATACTCCAATATTTATTACGTTACTGGCATATTGTATTCATGCTAATTAAGATAAGGACAAGCAGCACTTTTCTTTCTTTCTTTCTTTCTTTCTCCAAAACCAAGAATCCTTCTTATCTCGTTTCATTCTAAACGCGATCAAAACGGAATATTTTATTATTAATATGATATTGGCTGGAGACGTTAAACACTTTTTTCTTTCTTTCTTTCTTTCTTTTTCTTTCTTTCTTTTTTTCGTTTCATCGTTTCAATCTATGAACGCGATCAAAACGGAATATTTTATTATTAATATGATATTGGCAGGAGACGTTAAACACTTTTTCTTTCTTTCTTTATTTCTTTCTTTCTTTCTTTCTTTCTTTCTTTCTTTCTTTCTTTCTTTCTTTCACTGAAACTAAGCAGCGTTTCTGATATGTCTTCTCTGTCTTTCCACGTGATCAAGACGGAATACTCCAATATTTATTACGTTACTGGCATATTGTATTCATGCTAATTAAGATAAGGACAAGCAGCACTTTTTCTTTCTTTCTTTCTTTCTTTCTCCAAAACCAAGAATCTTTCTTTCCAAACCAAAAACGGAATATTTTATTATTAATATGATATTGGCCGTTAAACACTTTTTCTTATTTCTCGTTTTCATTCTCTGAACTTATCTCGTTTCATCAAACGCGATCAAAACGGAATATTTTATTATTAATATGATATTGGCAGGAGACGTTAAACACTTTTTCTTTCTTTCTTTCTTTCTTTCTTTCTTTCTTTCTTTCTTTCTTTCTTTTCACTGAAACCAAGCAGCGTTTCTGATATGTCTTCTCTGTCTTTCCACGTGATCAAGACGGAATACTCCAATATTTATTACGTTACTGGCATATTGTATTCATCTAATTAAGATAAGGACAAGCAGCACTTTTTCTTTCTTTCTTTCTTTCTTTCTTTCTCCAAAACCAAGAATCCTCTCTTATCTCGTTTCATTCTATGAACGCGATCAAAACGGAATATTTTATTATTAATATGATATTGGCTGGAGACGTTAAACACTTTTTTCTTTCTTTTCTTTCTTTCTTTCTTTCTTTCTTTCTTTCTTTCTCCAAAACCAAGAATCCTCTCTTATCTCGTTTCAATCTATGAACGCGATCAAAACGGAATATTTTATTATTAATATGATATTGGCAGGAGACGTTAAACACTTTTTCTTTCTTTTTTTCTTTTTCTTTCTTTCTTTCTTTCTTTCACTGAAACCAAGCAGCGTTTCTATGTCTTCTTTTCCACGTGATCAAGACGGAATACTTTTATTACGTTTGGCATATTGTATTCATGCTAATTAAGATAAGGACAAGCAGCACTTTTTCTTTTCTTTCTTTCTTTCTTTCTCCAAAACCAAGAATCCTCTCTATCTCGTTTCATTCTATGAACGCGATCAAAACGGAATATTTTATTATTAATATGATATTGGCTGGAGACGTTAAACACTTTTTCTTCTTTCTTTCTTTCTTTCTTTCTTTCTTTCTTTCTTTCTCCAAACCAGACCAAGAATCCTCTTATCTCGTTTCAATCTATGAACGCGATCAAAACGGAATATTTTATTATTAATATGATATTGGCAGGAGACGTTAAACACTTTTTCTTTCTTTCTTTCTTTCTTTCTTTCTTTCTTTCTTTCTTTCACTGAAACCAAGCAGCGTTTCTGATATGTCTTCTCTGTCTTTCCACGTGATCAAGACGGAATACTCCAATATTTATTACGTTACTGGCATATTGTATTCATGCTAATTAAGATAAGGACAAGCAGCACTTTTTCTTTCTTTCTTTCTTTCTTTCTTTCTCCAAAACCAAGAATCCTCTCTTATCTCGTTTCATTCTATGAACGCGATCAAAACGGAATATTTTATTATTAATATGATATTGGCTGGAGACGTTAAACACTTTTTCTTTCTTTCTTTCTTTCTTTCTTTCTTTCTTTCTTTCTTTCTCCAAAACCAAGAATCCTCTCTTATCTCGTTTCAATCTATGAACGCGATCAAAACGGAATATTTTATTATTAATATGATATTGGCAGGAGACGTTAAACACTTTTTTTCTTTTTCTTTCTTTCTTTCTTTTTCTTTCTTTTTCTTTTCTTTCACTGAAACCAAGCAGCCATATGTCTTCTCTGTCTTTCCACGTGATCAAGACGGAATACTATTTATTACGTTACTGGCATATTGTATCGCTTTAAGGACAAGCAGCACTTTTTTTTTCTTTCTTTCTTTCTTTCTTTCTCCAAAACCAAGAATCCTCTCTTATCTCGTTTCATTCTATGAACGCGATCAAAACGGAATATTTTATTATTAATATGATATTGGCAGGAGACGTTAAACACTTTTTCTTTCTTTCTTTCTTTCTTTCTTTCTTTCTTTCTTTCTTTCTTTCTTTCACTGAAACCAAGCAGCGTTTCTGATATGTCTTCTCTGTCTTTCCACGTGATCAAGACGGAATACTCCAATATTTATTACGTTACTGGCATATTGTATTCATGCTAATTAAGATAAGGACAAGCAGCACTTTTTCTTTCTTTCTTTCTTTCTTTCTTTCTCCAAAACCAAGAATCCTCTCTTATCTCGTTTCATTCTATGAACGCGATCAAAACGGAATATTTTATTATTAATATGATATTGGCAGGAGACGTTAAACACTTTTTCTTTCTTTCTTTATTTCTTTCTTTCTTTCTTTCTTTCTTTCTTTCTTTCTCCAAAACCAAGAATTCTTATCTCGTTTCATTCTAAACGCGATCAAAACGGAATATTTTATTATATCTGGAGACGTTTTTTTCAAAACCAAGAATTCTCTTATCTCGTTTCAATCGAACGATCAAAACGGAATATTTTATTATTAATATGATATTGGCAGGAGACGTTAAACACTTTTTTTTTTTTCTTTATTTCTTTCTTTCTTTCTTTCTTTCTTTCTTTCTTTCTTTCTTTCCTGAAACCAAGCAGCGTTTGATATGTCTTCTCTTTCCACGTTCAAGACGGAATACTCGTTACTGGCATTTATTCCATTTAAGATAAGGACAAGCAGCACTTTTTCTTTCTTTCTTTTTTCTTTCTTTCTCCAAAACCAAAAATCCTCTCTTAAAAACGCGATCAAAACGGAATATTTTATTATTAATATGATATTGGCTGGAGACGTTAAACACTTTTTCTTTCTTTTTTCTTTCTTTCTTTCTTTCTTTCTTTTTCTCCAAAACCAAGAATCCTCTCTTATCTCGTTTCATTCTATGAACGCGATCAAAACAATATTTTATTATTAATATGATATTGGCTGGAGACGTTAAACACTTTTCTTTTTCTTTCTTTCTTTCTTTCTTTCTTTCTTTCTTTCTTTCCTTTCTTTCCAAAACCAAGAATCCTCTCTTATCTCTTTCTTACGCGATCGTTTTTAATCTATGAACGACGTTAAACAATTTTTCTTTCTTTCTTTCTTTCTTTCTTTCTTTCTTTCTTTCTTTCTCCAAAACCAAGAATATTTTATTAACGCGAACAATTATTTTATTATTAATATGATATTGGCAGGAGACGTTAAACACTTTTTCTTTCTTTCTTTATTTCTTTCACTGAAACCAAGCAGCGTTTCTGATATGTCTTTTCTGTCTTTCCACGTGATCAAGACGGAATAGTCCAATATTTATTACGTTACTGGCATATTGTAACGTTCATGCTAATTAAGGTAAGGACAAGCAGCATTATACGATATAGTATTGTATCGTAAAACATATCATAAGAAATAAAGGAGTGGAACGGCAAATGGTTGTCGCTCGTAATTATATTTTTAGAAGTCGGAAAACAATGCCATCCATTCTTCAATAGTTGGCAATTATCCTCACGTTATTCGAACACAGACAGGACGGAGTCAATTAAGTATATAGTTTGAAATCATTATAACACGCAAAAAAATATTGGTAAGAGATTAAGTATAATCGATAAAGGAACACATATGTGGTTTCTCTGGCAAAATGTACATCGGTAGCTATCGATTTGCTATTAGCAGATCACGCGATGTTATTTTAAGTATATCAATCCTGCGATGGTGCCTCTGAATAATGCAATATTAACAATATCAAGACAAGTGTCAATTGTTATCTATCCTACTTTTTGTTATAATCTCCACTTTTTACCATCTACACTAGCAGATGAATTGTAACCGTCTATCTTGTGTAGCCCTCATGCCTTGAATTGGGTGAATTATAATATTAGAAAAAAGTAAGAAAACTTGTATTGTTTAATATCAGCATCTCTTTCACGCCATCTTGGTTATTATATTACAATACGCTGTTGTATATTTTGTTGTTGTTTGTTTATCTTAAAAAAAAAAAATTTCCGTTTCCTTATATTGTCACAGATATGCGTTCGATTCTTCAGTGCACCATTATAAAAGGAAAAAAAAAACAGCAGGCGCTAAAGTATGATTCCCATCGAAACAGTGCTAGGCTGTTCACGACAAATGCCGTTATGAACTTGTGCGAGACTGAATACAGTTTCATGGTCAGAAAAAAATGTCGTAGAAAACAGAAAACAAACCCTCCCAGAGGTTCTTATTAAATGCGAACCAAACAAAAGTGTACTGAAAATAATTCATAAAATAAAATCAATTTGACATAAAAAAAAATCTTATTTAGTGAAAAATATTTCGCTTAGAGTTTATTCGTAAATATTAGTTATGAGGTATTGTCAAGAGACTTTAAACACGTCTATCTTCATTTTCTTTCTTTCTTTCTTTCTCCAAAACCAAGAATCCTCTCTTATCTCGTTTCATTCTATGAACGCGATCAAAACGGAATATTTTATTATTAATATGATATTGGCAGGAGACGTTAAACACTTTTTCTTTCTTTCTTTCTTTCTTTCTTTCTTTCTTTCTTTCTTTCTTTCTTTCTTTCACTGAAACCAAGCAGCGTTTCAGATATGTCTTTTCTGTCTTTCCACGTGATCAAGACGGAATAGTCCAATATTTCTTACGTTATTGGCATATTGTAACGTTCATGCTAATTAAGATCATTACATTTGGTTAAGTCATAAGAATTTTTCGTTTTCAGGAGCCAGTTATAAATTAAGAAATTAATCGTTTTAATCTTTTCACTCAAAGAAAGTAAATAAAGCCACCAAAATGCATGAAGTTACTGATTGCGAGGGAATGTGCTAAAAAATAAAGCATTATTAAGGAGAGAGATAAAAAAAACACGAATTAAGAGAGGCAACCTTACAGCGGTGGGCAAGTAAATGATGCCGAGCCGCCAGGTCAAGACCAATAATATTACTGATTATTCTTTGGACCTTAGGAAGGAGCTCCATGAGAATAGCAAGGGCACCAGATCATATTCGGCAGCAATATTCTAAGCATGGACGAATGGTATACATATAGATATGCAAGATAGATTCCGGATAGAAAATATATCTCGCACAGCACAGTGAACCGACTTTCTTAGCAGCTGATCTAGCAATAGATTCATTGTATTTCCAGCTGAGAACATTAGCCCGAAACGGCGCAATGAGTCACTTTCTTGGAGGATAGCATCGGCCATGCCGATGGAAGGCAGAGAGGGGTCTCTCAGATGATCAATGGAGAGAGAAGTTTATTTTTGTAAGTGTTAAAATTGACAACCCATCTTTTATTCCAGTTAACGACGGTCTTCAGGTCGTTTTGTACATAATCTGCCATTTTAGGACTGATCAGCCGTACTATCGATGCAGGTGTGTTAGTGTCGTCTACGTAGATGCCAAGTTCAGAACTGATAAAATCGGGAAGGTCGTTAATGGAGATTAAAAACAGCGTAGGACTAAAGATGGAGCTCTGAGGCACACCCGTGTTAGTACAAAAGGGTGTAGACGACTAGCCGTTCAGGATAACCTTCATTTCACGATTTGATAGGAACTGGTAAATCATCTCAAAAACTGAGATACCATAGCTTTTCAGCCTCTGGACAATACCTGAATTCTAGACCCTGTCAAAGGCTTTCGAGTTCTCCAGTGCTACAGTCCGGGCTTCACCTTTTTTATCTAGAGCATGACAGACTATTTCCGCAATTATCGTTAGTACATAAGCAGTCGATCTGTAGAAAATAAAGCCGTGTTTCTTGTCTGAGAAAAGGCCCCGTGATGAGATATACCAAGCCAATTCAGCATTGATGAGGGGCTCTAAGAGTTTCCCAAAAAGAGGCAGAATTATGGCAAGGGATAAAATTTTCCTCACCTGTAAGAAGCCTGTACAAAAAAGACAGTTCAAGTTGTTGTGTAAACAATGACTAACAACAATCAACATGTTGTTGGCGATTCTCGGGAGACAGGTTGTGCGGGAAGTATTGCCTAAACACTGAAACCTTTATAATCGTTTTCAGTTAGCGTATGACTGTCGTATATCTGATATCGTTTCCCACAGAGTTTCCTTGCCTTAGTGGCAGTGTTTGCTGTAACAAAGGCTTTCAAATCACCTGAATCGAATCTTCTGGACGATCCTCGCTTGACCCGTTCGATAGAGTAACTTTCCCAGTTTCGGATCGAAAAAAAAGACATCTTGTAACGTTTGCTCATTGCATCTATACCATCAGCAAGCTTGATGGACTTTTGCTGCTACACCTTTGAAACTTTTTTGAAACGGATAGAGTAGATTTCTAATAAGTTCTTTCAATGGAATGAAGACTGGGTCAAGTTAAGGACAATATAAATTGTAATAATCTTATTATAATCGAAAAGCAAAAGAATATAAAGCGGCAATACTTTAAACATTGTCTATAATGTTCACCTAAAAAGTCAACACACCAATTCTCTCCTGATAATTCTTAGATGGAATCAACGTTTTAAAACGTTTCTTTCGTCAGCACCATCCGTAATTCATTCATTTTTATTGTAAAATTTATTAGCAATGCTGAAATATACGAGGCTTACTCTAGTATCACGTTGAAATACAGGTTCTCGCAAGATTAACGAATTTAAGCAACGTCGAGCTTGGTCATTACATATATGGGTGATCACTTGGAAAAATGAGATGCTGTAACCTTGTGTGTACGTAGGGTGTAAATGTATAACGGCTTGATGTTGAGGGGTACTCCACTTTTTACACAAATGGACTCACCCAGTATATACATATACTACGGCTACGTGAAGAGCCGACAGAGCAAAACCGAGTCGAGTCGAGTTCAGAATGACAGAGTAAAAGACTGTAGGTAACCTGAAGTGTGAGGGGTGAGGTAACAGCGTTGTAGGAGTCACAGTGAGCGAGCACGTAGACTCAGTAAGAAGTCATACAGCGATACTTCAATACCAAAGACTGTATATATATTTTGCTACTAACCTGGATTCCTGGAACTACTAACCTGATTTACCAGTTTGTATTATTACGTTAATACATTATTTTCATATATTCATTCCTGGCGTTTGTTATTTATTGGTACCGGATTTCAACCCGGAATCCACAGCAACTTGGCGACGAGGATATCGAACTCACACAGAAAGAACAAACAACAAAATTCTCCCTCGTCCACAACAACTTGGCGACGAGGATATCGAACTCACACAGGAAGAACAAACAACAAAATTCTCCCTCGTCCACAACAACTTGGCGACGAGGATATTGAACTCACAGGAAGAACAAACAACAAAATTCTCCCTCGTCCACAACAACTTGGCGACGAGGATATCGAACTCACACAGGAAGAACAAACAACAAATTCTCCCTCGTCCACAACAACTTGGCAACGAGGATATTGAACTCACACAGGAAGAACAAACAACAAAATTCTCCCTCGTCCACAAATAACTTGGCGACGAGGATATTGAACTCACACAGGAAGAACAAACAACAAAATTCTCCCTCGTCCACAACAACTTGGCGACGAGGATATCGAACTCACACAGGAAGAACAGACAACAAAATTCTCCCTCGTCCACAACAACTTGGCGACGAGGATATCGAACTCACACAGGAAGAACAAACAACAAAATTCTCCCTCGTCCACAACAACTTGGCGACGAGGATATCGAACTCACACAGGAAGAACAAACAACAAAATTCTCCCTCGTCCACAACAACTTGGCGACAAGGATATCGAACTCACACAGGAAGAACAAACAACAAAATTCTCCCTCGTCCACAACAACTTGGCGACGAGGATATCGAACTCACACAGGAAGAACAAACAACACAATTCTCCCTCGTCCACAACAACTTGGCAACGAGGATATCGAACTCACAAAGGAAGAACAAACAACACATTCCTCCCTCATCCACAACTTGGCGACCAGGATATCGAACTCACACGTGAAGAACAAACAACAAATTCCTCCCTCATCCACAACACTTGACATTGGAAATCGATGAGTCGAATTCCAATTCCAGTCGGTATCGTTATATTCACTGACGCACAATTACCGTTGGGATATATAAGAATCCATCTATTCTCGACCCAAATACTGGTTAATTAGTTTAGACCTATATCATTAAATCTGTACTAATAACCTTGGGAAAGGTATGAATCATCATCTTCTCCCCTCCCACCAGCTAGGGATAAATAGCGATATAGACCGGATATTATAATCTTGGATGGTAACTGTTCTACCGCAGAAAGAAATGGCAACCTACTGCAGGAAAAAAAATCTGCCTCGTCAGTTATATATCGAAAGATTCATGATCGCCTAAGAGGGTATCACGCATGGCACAGAACTGACTGACTGAATGAACTATATAAGATAGTTTTCCATAAACTTGAGAACGTCTTTTTTATATATATTCAGTTGTTTGTTTTTTCCTGCTTGATATTTCTAGTTTTTATTCTTTTAAAAGAGTTCATTCCAATTAAAGCCACTAAGACACAAATGAGTTACTGGGTGTAGAAGAATTAGAAACAGAAACTTTACTAAGTACAAAAGAAGTGTAATCAGGTAGACAGTAGATAACGATTAACATTGCATTTAAATTTTGATCAATAAATCATTAATATCTCCCCTAAATTATTACAAACTAAAAATATTTTTTTATCACTTTAAACAACTTGCAATAGGTTGATAAGTCGTAAAACACAATTTAATCAATCATGTGCCGTTTGCACGTTGGTGTTATAGGGAAAATCAGTTATAAGCCATTTTATGAGAAAAATGATTTGCAAACTATTACTATAATAAAAACAATTCTTGTAGGAAAAATGGTTGGCGGATGCATTTTCATAGTAAACATCATTTCTTAATGGTTTATAAATCATTTTCATATTTGAAATGATTGGCAATAAACCTTTATTAAATGAAGTAATTTATGTTGCTATGTTACTTTTCCCGCTAACGCCTTTTCACCCTAACGCTTCCGCTGATTTTCATTTGAAAATTAGAAAAGAAAATAGTGAGAATTGTCAGGAATTAATGGAATTTTTATTGACCGAACCGGAATGCTATATGCATAATATAATTACACAGCTAATTATTTTGTGACATAAATGCAATTAACCTAAGAATAATGAGATCACCAGTATTAGTGATTGATTTGTATTTTACGACTCATCAAACATTTGTGGCCTATTTTAAGCCAAAACATATTTCGGGATTGTAAGAATAACATTTTTTTTTTTTGCTAGTGAATATTGCATTAACATGTTTTTACAGAATGAAATGATTTTTCCATATTGAAATCCTAGTATTTAACCAAAAGCTGGGGGAGACGGCTTCATATATTTCCCAAGAGTATTTCGCGTAAGTGTGAAGTCGACTAGAATTCGAACGCCGTTCTCCGAATTCATATCCCTAGCCATTACCCAATTCACCAACGGTACATATACGCTAAGTTTACTGTTGTTTTTGTTTAGCGGCATATCAACCTCGATGGGTCATTTAATGCTGAAATCTAAATATTTTGATAGGTTAAGTTTGGTTGATTTGTTAAGCGGCATATCAACCTCTATCTGT